AGTTGCGAGCGCTGCATTGGGCTGGGCGCAGCAAAACATTCAGAACGGACGGAATCACAGGCCACCCGCCAACCCCGAGAGACAGATATTCCTCCGATGATCAGATCCAGTTCTACTGCTTCCCTACGGCAGCCCTCCCAGGGGTACGGAGTAGCGCCGCAACACATAGTTGATGGGCCGACTGCAATCCCCCGGGAGAAGGCCTAGCCCATGGATCCTTCAAGGACTGGACGAGACGGTCAAGGGCCCCCATCTCGCACACGATCGCTGTACCCAAATACTGGCAACGACTTTCAACTATGTGCACACATGACATTTGTTCGTCCGTTCGAGAACCAGCAGTTGGCTCGAATTAATGCCGTTCTCAGAGTCTTTGGAGGCTGGTTCCTCTCTGACTGAGCGTCCCACGCCATCAGATGTCTCTGTACTCATTGGCTGTTCTATTTCTGGACAATGTACGCCGTGCACGGCAGCTGCAATTGGGAATATTAGAGTCGTCTTGATTGGTGCCCTCCAAGGTGTCGTCTGTTTCAGAGTATGTGAGCGCCTAAGAGCCAATCATGTTGGTTCATCGCAAACAGCCACGTGAGATGGGTCATTTTGGCTGCGAGTGCACGGAAGCTCAGGCAACCAGGTAAGCCTCAGGCAAAAGGTGCCATTGTCAGGTTCGCGAACCTAAGGCCTGAGGCCATGAATCCGATGGCGCCCTCGTCACGCCCTGCCCTGGGGTGCTCTCAAGGCCCGACATTCAGCCGAAAGCGAGCTATCCAATTCTTCACTCAAAAAGAACGTCATTGAGGCTCTTCCATCTTTGCAACCGTCAACAAATTTCAGCGTCGAACTCCGAGCTTTCCAACAGCCCACGACAGGACATCGCTGGAGGATTAGATAGAACTCTGTCAACACTCCCGAACCCTCAGGAAGGCACAGTCGGAAGACAGAGAAGCACATTGATCGAAGCAGATCAAGTCACCCCCAAAAGGTAAGAGACAAAAACAGAATCGCGACGAGCCAGAGTAAACACTGGCCGTCCTCTTTCGAGCTTTTCCATGATGAGATTCTTTTTATTGGAGCTGTCTAAATTTCCCATGTTGAGACACTTTATTACCTTATACGCTTTGTCTGAAAAATCGCGCTCAAACCTCTTTAATGCCTACGAGCATCTAAAAACATGGTCTTCTGAATATTTGGCTAATTCGGAGACACAGATCAGATTTCTTCGCTACGACCTCTACGACTGGAAGCGACGACCACCGGCGATTCGACTTTTCCCTCCCTCTCTCTAACCGACCCGCTGATTTTTATTTCTTTCTCTTGCTGACCTAAACACATTATTCTGCCTGTTCCCGCCATTGGTGACCTTTTTGACGGCCCCACGTTCTTCCCATAATCATCCATCCATTTTGACTGCTTCCTGTCGCGCGCGCCCATTGATATCCACTTCCTACCTTCGTGGAGCTCCCGCGCCGTGCTTCCATACATACCTATACTCCGTGCCGTACCTGTCGAGCTTGCTTGTCCCGCCCCACCCAACATCGTCACTTTCTGTCGGCATACATACGCAGTAACCCATACACAAACAAAAACCCATCGATCACCACGAAAGTCATGGAGGTCGCAAATGGCATCACCGGCGCCGCAGCAGCCGCAAATGCTGGAGCGAACTCGACGGCACCTCCTCCGAATGGCGGCGATGCTGCGGCTGCTGCTGCTTCTTCAAGCGACTTCAAGCTCAAGTTCTGTACGGTGTGCGCGAGTAACCAAAATAGGTACGATACAATCAAGTCCCGTGGCCCGATTGTTTATCACGCGAGAGCAAATTCGAGCTTCTCTTCAACGTCATTACGAAACTGCCCGCATCCTCGCATCGTGTCCATGGCCCAAAGTCGAGGAAAACACATACTGACCACCCTCTGTCAAACAGATCAATGGTCTCCCACCTCCGCCTCGCCCAAGCAAACTATCCCGTAATCTCCTTCGGCACAGGCTCCCTCGTCCGCCTCCCCGGTCCCTCGATAACCCAGCCAAACGTCTACCAATTCAACAAGACCTCGTACGACTCCATCTTCAAAGAGCTCGAGTCAAAAGACACGCGCCTCTACCGCGCAAACGGCGTCCTCAACATGGTCGACCGCAACCGCCACGTCAAGTGGGGGCCCGAACGCTGGCAGGACTGGCAGGTCGGCATGCCGCGCCTCACCCACGCCGAGGACCGCGGCAGCGTCGGCGTCGAGGGCGGCGTCGTCGACGTCGTGATTACCTGCGAGGAGCGCTGCTGGGACGCCGTGATTGACGACCTCATGAACCGCGGGAGTCCGCTGAACAGGCCCGTCCACGTGATTAATGTCGATATCAAGGATAACCACGAGGAGGCCAGCGTCGGCGGGCGCGCGATTCTGGATCTGGCGAACGCGTTGAATGCCGCGGCGACCGAGGAGCGCGAGGCTGTCGGGGCGGCGGCGTTTGATGGCGGGAGTGCGGCGGGCAGGGCGAGCTTTGATGAGAGGGTCCCGGATATCTTGGCTGCGTGGCAGGATCGGTGGCCTCACTTGCCTGCTGTATGGACTCTTGCTTGGTTTTGAGAGTTGGCTGAAAAAGGGTGGAACCTTTCGGCGGCGTGTGTTTCCCTCTCCGCTTGAAAGCCGCGGGACCAAGATGCGTCCTACAGTAACGAGAAACTCCCGACTCAACAACTCAAGATGGTGAAGTGCGGATTGAAGGAGACGCTACAGTATCTACAGTACCTACAAACATTGTTTGTCCGGTACGGAAAGCGTACGGAGGCTCGGGAACACTTACCGCACGCCACCGGGATTCTAAATGAGACCGGGTGCGGCTACGCCCATCAAGATCACGATCCCGATCCCGACGCACGGACGAGATCTCCGGAAAGTCATGGTTTAATCCACGCGAGAAGCTTGCGGTTGCGGCTCTTCGGTATCGATCGACACGGTTTCCCAGGCGGCCTCTTCATCAAACGGCAAAAGGATGTACCATGCGAGCCCTGGGCACTTGAGCTCCAAAATGGGAAGCAGCTCGGGAGAAAGGGAAATGGAGCTTGCGATTCTATATATAAACTAGACCTGACATGCCAATACCCTCATCAGACGAACAAGGTATATGGCAGTCATTGACGAGTTAGACGTGGGAACTGAGCATATCGTTCTCGCGTTACAACGTGGAACGGAAGCCATAGCCGAGCTCGAAGAACAGAGGCGGCGAGAGAATCTTGGAAGATGCGGCTCCGCTAGCGAAGTTTAAGCCGGGCAAACTCACTTGGCCGTGTCAAAGGTGCGATTCATGAGAAAGGGAGACTGGAGAATCTCCAGCCGGGAAGGGAGCTTCAGGTTCGGGATAAGATACCCTCAACACACAGACAAACTACGAATTAATGACAACACTTCCCCAAAGACAAGCAAAACGATCCCTGAATCCTGATTATTTAAGCTGTGCCGAACTTGCCTTTGCCTTTTATTGTGCCCACAGTCGCGCAGAGGACCTGCAGACTACGACTGGGAGCCCCAAAAGCGCGAGAGTTCAATCAAACGCCCGCATGCCGTTACCGTTGGACCGTCGTTGGTGTCCCGTTAAGCTATCGATGCCGCGTTTCGGAGCTAGCCTTAGTCGAGGCAAGTTTCACGAAGCTTCGAGTTGACCCGTCATGGTGGTGTGGGTGTGTGTGTGTGTGTGTGTGTGTGTGTGTGTGTGCTTTCGCTGGAACGTGACCGGGGCTCGATCCCTCCCATATCTTCAAGTTCCAACGGCGGCCCTGCAGCCCTTCCGTCTCTGGGGGGCTTGACTATCCCGTAGTTAGTGTGTGTTCGGGATATGTGGTGGCCCGGGAGATCTGTGTGATTCCATAGACTATTATGCCACGGACCGTGAGGTTGCGTTGAACACACGGCCTTCTAGAAGCTTTTCGGGGTGGCCTCCTGGCAATAATACGCTGCACTATTGCTAACGCTCAGTGATGAACCGGACTTTAGTGACCTTCTCATCAGCTTGCGTCACTGCGCGTAGAACAGTAATCGGAATATCCTCCGGCTAGACGGCAGCAGTTGACTGTCGCCGCGGCGCACTGAGTTGCGCGCACAATGGCATTGTCATAACTAGGATAACTCTGTGCCCCAAACAGAATTTGTTCTCCGGTGTCACCAGATTCCAATCTCCAAGAAGGCTGTCCAGGCTTCGTCGTCATGGGGAACTGGCAAAGCCTGTATCCGTAGATTGCAGGCGGATGAACCGGACAGCCCCAGGGCTAGGAAGTCTTGGAGCGGTGGGGGTCGCGTACGCGAGCCCGCGTACCGTAAAGATCGTATCCGCGACTCCTCGTGTAACTCAGCGAACACCCGGCGAGGCCATCTCAGCCCGTCGAATGTGCGATGGCATGGCCAAGCTTCATTCCCGTCTCAGGCCCTCAGGGTGGTCGGGTCGGGCAACGGGAGGGGTTTATGCAGTCTGAAGGTACCTTGCAATGTCACATGTCCCTCTTTGAGCCTCACCTCGTGGCCGGGTCTCTCCCACCCCGGAGCGCCTGGCTCGGGAGAGTGAGCACAAGATGCTACCGGTACCGAATTAGGGTGTGTATTCAAATGTCGCCGTGAGCACGCGTGCGCTGGAAAGCACTGATGGCAGGATGATCGCGGCGCGGTAACGGTGCTGGGCAGCTGGCCTAAGAGTGGAGGCAGACGCCTTCGAGATGGGTGCCAGATTGGGGATCTGGATCTATAGAGTAGAGGAATGGATCCCTCTTTGTGATTCCAAGAGAACTAGACCAGTCGAGACTCTGGTGAGCAGAGTGTTTGTCGAACCAAAGTAGGAAGTGCAGGGCGGGCAAGATGAGATGTAATCTTAGGCGCAATAAAACGTTGCATGGGGGCCGGCGAGGTTTACGCACCGGTTGTCCGGGCAGAAGAACCAGGTATGGGGAGAGAGGTAGCGGCGGCTGAACGGGACGCGTACAAGGCACATCCCGTTCTGGAAGTGTGGGAGAGCGCTCATCAGCGAGCACCAAGCAACGGCATGTTGTCGCGATGGAACTGTTCCTGAACATGCATTCTTCCGTTGTGATTCATGGCTTTGCAACTTGCTTGCCTCAGAGTCTCCCGATTGTCTGGCCACAGAAGCTGGTAAAGGCTGAGCCAAGAGTCTGGGGTTGTCAGAGACGTCCGCATGCGTACGGATAACAGCGTAGGGCGGAATCTGAAGGGCAGAGACGGACGACAAGCAACGGTGACAGCTCGTCAAGGGGCTGCAGAGGCAAAGCTAATGCCTCGTCCTGTCGCGCTCGCCAGCCAGCGTGCAAGCATCCCGCGGCTTAGAAAGGACTCGTCTCGAAAAGGTAGGCGACTGTCGAGCTGGACCCGGCACCCCCTTGTGCAAGGATGCAAGCAAACCGCATCTCCACCATGCTTAAAATCTATCCATGTCAGTAAGGGCAGGGGAAGGAAGGGAGGGCAAGCCGCAAGGCACGTCTCTTGTCCGGATATGCCCATGCCCAAAGCTCAGTGAGGCCCTTGTCGCGGTCTCCAATTCTTATCCCATTTCCCACAGACACTGCCACCGTCGAGTGACAGGCCGGGCCCTGGAGCAAATCCACCTTTGAATTTTGCTGCTAGCGCGCGCCAGGTGTGATGAACCAATGGGTAGTGGAAAGGCCGCGCCATCACGGCATGGGTAGAACAGTTGCTCAGGGGTGATGGAGGCTGCATTGGCCCTGGAGATCTGGGCCTGCAGGGTTGCATGAATGAGGGCCGGTTCCTGAAAGTCCATTATCCGCAACAAAGAGAAGGAGGATGTCGACGTGAGGCGGACGGGATGGATGTGCCGATGGATTGACGGAATCAATGTGATAATAATGATGATGTAGGTAGGTAGAAGAGGATAGGGTCATTTGAGGTACATGTCTCTCAATGCAGTATTCAATGTATCTTTCAGCTGAGAGACGTGGGAGGAGCCATGGACTGCAGACTGTTTTTCGGCAATAACAGCAATTGCCAGTGACAGGCAAGAGAGAAAGGAGCACTTCCTTGCCGCTGCCGAATGGGCGGTTCTAGGTAGGATTTGTGGATGAACCCGCGAATCATTCGCGGTCTACCGGACCGGGACGTACAACGTCAAAGTTGCAGTGGTTACCTCCAAAAGCTCAGTTTACTCTGCAGTCTGTATGGTAATTCCCTACGAAATACTGTGTAATAATGGGTATAAGTATCATCAGTGATGAACCGTTCCTGACCCTGATTCTGTGCTTGCCAATACCCGCGTAATGTGGTAGTGAAATCCACTTACCAAGTTACCCATCAAGACGCTGATGGCGCAGCAAGGTTGGGGCAATCTTGATGATGGGAATGAGGATTCTGCGTCTCTATAATTATCAGTAGGAAGCATTCGGATATTTCTCGTTTAGTCCTTGTTAGTCAGGGTCCAAGGTAGAATATCCGCACATTCATCTGTATGTCTTGAATCGTGCCGTGTCTTTGAATTTGTCTCGTGCAAAAGACCATTGTGTCTTATCCCCTTTGCAGACCTTTTCCAATCAGGCCGGACACCGATCTGCCAGCAACATTAACCAGTCCAGTTCAGTCTTGTAGAGATTCAGCTGGACCGGGGATGGATGGGGACTCGGAGGGACCTGCGGCGCGGGCATTCCAAGCTGGAAATGAACATGTAGGACGAGACTTTTAGCCCATGGCGATAGGCTTTTCTCTTCCGGTATCCACCAGGGTTAGCTTGTTTTGACCGATCTCTGGCTTTGTGGGAGCTGCCCGTCCATGTAACGGCACTTGCCTTATCTAACCTCGACTCGAGTCACTTGTGCAACTTTGGGTTGGTCTTTGGGCTGGTCTTTGAGGATGAGGCCCGACAACGGGGATAACTTTGAGCTCCTGTCTCTCCCTCCAACGGGGAAGAAGAAACAAGTGTTTGGTGCTTGGGATGGTCTGAGCTGGCTCCCTCCATCCGCTGGGACGCTGCCATTTCGAAGGTATCGCATCAGTAGCTGTGGTTGTACGTATGCTTTGGGCCACGGACGAATAGTTGGACGGTGTGATAACGTACGGACTCATCTACCGGTAAAAAAGCCCCTTACTCGGTACTATCACCACCATTATGCGTGGATCGTCCAGAAAAAGTCATCATTGCTGATGGGCGATGAAGTATGAACATGGACATTGGGGCAAGTGGCCCCCAACATGATCCCCGGAGGTGACCCAAAAGAGATTGATCATCGCACAACCACGGTGGAGAGTCGCAATATCATCATGGGCAATTTCGCAAGTAACACGCGATGCATTCTCCAGCCATGATGGGGTGTCTGATGCACCCAAGGGTACATATCTACAGGAGGGACAAGACATGACAACGGCGGGCTGTGTTCTCCAGCGTCATTTCCCCTCCTCCACCCCCCTTGCCCCTTCCCGGCAGCGGCGCCCTTCCCCCTTCCACTAAGGTTGCTGTGCGTGCGTTCCTCCCTTTTCTTCCTCGAGATACTTGGGTGGTTGTAACTTGTATCTTCTAGCCAGTCCTTCCCTTTTACAGTACCTACGGAGTAAGGTACTTGAGGTAGGTTCCCTCCAGCAACAGCGGACAGCGCTAAGGTAAGGACAAGCTCTAGCGCCCAGAGCAGTCCATTACCACTGCAAATGCTGCCCACAACCATTATCAGTGCGTTCAGTCCATTAAAGGTTCCTACCTACCCGCTACCTATGGTAAGGTAGGTACCTAAGCGACTCGCGGGTCCTCTATTTGTCTACTTGTATCTTTCCATAGCAACCACACCACAAAAGTACACCACACAACGTAGTTCGTGGCCCAGATCCTCCCAAGTCCCCCCCCCTCCCCCCAGTGCATCCCCCAAAATCCACTGGACTCGCCCATCCACGCCCCTTTTTTTGCACCCAACCCCAAGGGCGGCAGGGCCCCAGCAGCTCCTCCTTCCGCTTCATCGATTGGTTCCATTGGTCGAGGCATCCCAGCCAGTCACCTCGACGTTTCATGCTTCACCATCTCCGTCGCGGATTCTGCTCTTGTTCTGCTTCTCTATCCGTACGTCGTTTGCCTTGCTGCATGCGCTCTGTTTTGCGTTGCTCTCGAGTTTCTGCTCTACTTTCAAGGTCGCCAGTTGCTCTTTCAACCTTTCTTCCCACACTACCTTACCATACCTTACCGATACCTTATTCTAATTCGCCTTGCGCTTTGTCTCTGCTGCAACCGCAACCGCAACTGCAACTGCACCTAGCCGCCCTTTGCATCTTGTCCCACGTCTTTTCTGCGGCATTTGCTTTTTCTCTGCATCCACCACCGTCAGAATATCCCCCTTTGACACGACATTTCATCCTCCCGCCCTGCCATGCCGTGTCGCATCCGCCGCCTGTCCATACATTGACGCTTGAAAGACAACGGATTGGAAGAAACAAGAACCCCTTTCTTTCTTTCCCACCCCTCTACCGCAATATCTCACTACCAGCCTGCGACACATTCCTCGACCGTCTCCAATACTTTCTTTATTCACCACCCCATCTCTTGAACCTGAACCTGAACCGCACGCAGTCCTGTTCGCACACCCGCCCAACCTCTAACCGGCATACTCCAAATCAAGAAAGCGAGAGAAAGGTTCTGCGACAATACGTATTTAGGTTGGCTTTTGGGTTTCCGCCTTGGTTTTGGGTACGAGCGTATACCTGATTGGATTAGCATTCTGTCCCACACGTCAGGCGAGTGTGTAGTACGAAGGAGGAGAAGAAAAACCGTTCAGCTGCTACTATCCCGACCGAATTGAAAGACCCGACCCTCGAACTCGACCTCGACCTAGGCCTCCTCCTCGATTTGGATACTCCCTTTGTTCGCTGCGCCGCGTCTCTGTTCTTTCGACAGCCTGCCGCTCATCTACGCGCGAACATACTCCCCCTCAAAAATTGCCCAGGTCTACCATGAATGGTCGCAATGCGCCTCTCTCACCTGTCTCTCTAGGTGGAAGCGAGTGGTCTGTTGGCAAATACCCGAACATCAACGACGACCCGTACGCAAAAAACCGCGGCAACATCGTATCACCCCCGAATTCAGGAGGCTCCAACGGAGCCATGAATGGCAATTTCCCCCCCGGTCCCCGGAGCGCCGGCGGTCCCTCGCCGCCGCCCTCTGTCGGCCGATCCAGCAATGGCACCAATATGTATGCGAGGAGCGAGAGCGGACGAAGTATCCGCGAGGAGCAAGCCGAGGGCATACTGGGCGAGCATTACGTCGCTTTGAAAAACTACCTAAATGGCGGTTCAGGCGGGAAACCAACACCCCCGAATAAGGCCCGCGACAAGCTGTTGCGCCTATCGTCTGTCCAGTTTCTCGAACTCAGTACCGATGTCTTTGACGAACTTTTGCGGAGACAATCCCTCGGTCGCCGACCTTCGGGTCCTGGCGGTCAGGGGCCACCCCCTTACCTGATGCCCGAATCCAACTTCCATCCCAAACGCAACCAGGCCAGGCAAAAACTGTCATCCCTTGGGCCCCCGCGCTTTCGTGATCTTGCAACTGACGTCTTTTGCGAACTGGAGAGGAGATTTCCCCGCTTTGCCGCTGGAGACATCCCTAGAGTGGGTAGCCCCGTATCGGTCCGCTCGCAGGCGACAGTCAACGGGAATGGCTATCCCAGGAGTCAAAGTCGGATGAGGCGGCCCTCAGACGCGAGCTCTATGAGAGGGGGACCACCACCGCCTGACCCTTACGGAGTGCCTCCATCACCTGGGATGCCTCCGAATGGCGACTACAACCGGCCGATGCAAAAACAATTTCAGAGCAATACAATCGTGCCGAATAAAAGTACAATGGTGGAAGAAGACGACGATGGCAGCCCGAACGAAGACGAGGAAGCTTTCGGCCTCGAACGAACCGCGACTAATCGTAGCAAGAGAAGCGAAGTCACGGAGCGGAGCGCGGTAGCATCAGAGGTGATCTTTACCCAAAATATTCTCGTATCGAGTGGAGACATTAACAACTATGACAGGCCGACAAGAAGCTTTTGGACGAATACCAGACTCAAGTCCGCGATCTGCGGGAAAAGCTTGACGTTATGGAGGATGCCATGAAGAAGAAGGACGACGAATTGAACAGCGTTCTGGATGGAGAAAGATCACGGTCAACAGCCGCGAATATGGAGAAGAAGGAATTTAGCGACCTGCGTCTTGGCCTGGAGAACAAGCTCGCCGAGGCTCAAGATCTTAACGCGTCGTTGAAGCAGGAGCTGGATCGCATGCGGGACGAACACGCTAACGAATCTCGGCAATTAAGAGACCAGATGGATGAGTTGCGCTTGTCTAGTGCGGCTGCAGGTGCAGCCAACTCTGGCAATGCAGATAGGGAGCTGCAAATGGAAAACCAGCAACTTCGCCAATCTCTACAGGAGCAGCAACAGGTTACGGAAGAGGCTCGACGCGAGGCTCGGGAATTCCTCCGCGAAATGAAGATGCTTTCGCAACAGAGCGGTTCAACTTGGCAGAAGCAGGAGGAGCTGGAGAAGACAATTGAGCAGCTGGAAGCAGAGGTTCGCGACTGGCGCAATCGCTACGCACGAACAAAGACACAACTTCGCAGCATGCGTGCCTCCTCACTGGGACTAACCGTCGAGCAAGATGCCTCAAAGTACATTAGAGAAAAGGGATTTGCACAGGATGGAGGCGCAGTTAAGGATGTCCACGTCACCAAATTCCAGATCGCCATCGACGAACTCCTCCAACGCGCGCGCGCGGAGAACCCGGACACCGTCATTGACGCTATGAAGCAAGTCGTTGTCAGCGTTCGCCGAATTACTAAGGATATCGACGAGGGTGTCGCTACCAACGACGAGCTCGCGCAGCAGCGTTCCAAGCTCAAGGGCAAGATCTCTTCGACGGCCAACCACCTCATCACAACATCCAAGAACTTTGCCTCATCAGCAGGCATCACGCCAGTTTCCCTCCTCGACGCCGCCGCCACTCACCTGGTTGCCGCTATTGTCGATCTCCTCCGAGTCGCAAAGATTCGATCCACCCCCGCTGGCGAACTCGAGGATGAGGATGACGGCACAATCACTCCCGTTGACTCGACCGGTTTCTTCTCCCCTAGAACGGCCTCGAGACAGGAGTCGATCATCCAGGAGTCTTTGCCGCCATTGGGACAGGCACCCGCACCTTTTCGTGGGCTTGGCGGTGGCCGAACCAGTATGGACTCCTCCGCTTACAGCCCCATCAACTCCCCTCGCCAGTCTGCGGACGCCTACAACCAAGCCCGGGGCGCCAATGGTATGAACGGTATGAACGGGATGGGTGGGTTCGCGGGCATGAACCAGAACGGGCCAACCAATGGCTATGGTAACGCTATGCGACAACAGGACAATCGGGCTGAAGATCTCAAGATCTATCTCGAGGACCAGACCGCGATCTTGGTTCAAAACATCCAGAACCTGGTCGGCTCCATCCGAAGCGATGCCGCCATCAACCAGATTACATCCGAGATCAACGGCATCGTAGAGGTTGTCGACAAGGTCATTGGCGAAACCGAGGCATCTGGCAATGGCAGCATGATTACCAGACTTGTCGCTTGCCGGGACCGCCTTTTGGAAGCCAGCGATCGTGGTATGGACATTGACCGCGGCCAAGATGTCGGTGCCACCGGGCGCAACGATCGCGAGTGGAGGATGTGGACGCAGACCCTACCTCCCATTGCTTTCGAAATTGCTCGGGAGACCAAGGAGCTGGTCCAGCGCGTCGACCGAATGGTCAGCAATGGAGACGACGACTTCTCTTAAACTCAGTTTGAGGCCTAGAAAAGTTTCGAATCCAACTTTCCCCCCCAAAAGATGTGTATAATCTTGAAACGACAACACCACACAACCCTCTCTTTCATCACTGGAAGAGAGTTTTGATACCCCTGCTGTCCTCGGGGCGGCTTTGCTTGCATTTATGTGTTCTGCGAGTTTTGGGACGTTGACGAAGATGACAACAAAAAAGAGGTCTACTTTTTTTTCTTCCTTGTTTTTCGTGTTTTGTCACTTGACGTATATACTATACACCCTTCCCACCTGTGGGACTTTTTTACTGGTCCCAAGCATGGGTTTTATAGAATGGGGGCTCGCTCGGTCTCTACAGCCTTGGGGCGTTTAATTTTGCTCGAGGAGTTTTGCACGCGAAGCATGAGAGAATGGAAATTCGAGGAGATTTTGACCGAAGGAGGTGGGTTTTCCTGTTGTTTTAACGTCACGCGAATGAAGTCGAAGAAAGAATTCGGAAAAGGAGGGTCCTTGGGAGACCTGCTAGGCTGCTGCTCGCCCAACACATACACTCCTGGCTATGTAATTCAGGATAGTCGGCGAGAGGGGAGAGGTTGTAGAGGACGTTTTCGATGAACAAAGATAGGATAGCCCCTTTCAAAGTATAGCTAATGCTAAAAGTGCCCCTTCGCGAGGCATGAAACCCAATCTTATAATACACGTGCAGTCTATTAGTGAAGGATGTAGGTATGAGCATATGGGTGAAAGGTGCGGCGTCTTGGGCGGACCCCGAGGTTTTTTGGCTCTGAGTACGAGCAAAAAGGTTAATAGGTCTGGCACATGACACTCACTACGATGCCACTATCGTCAAGCTGAGCAGCGGGCTTCTCCACGCGGCGGACACCAGTGCGACGGCGGCGCGGACGAACCGGTGCGGGGAGGGCGCTATGCTTTGAGTTTCTCGTACTGTACAGAAGTCTGGAAACTGATTTTGCGGTGAGGTTTAAGAGGTAACTCCCCCCTATATTCTCCGAACATCTCGACACCAGTGGTTTCTGTTGTGACCGATGTGGAAGCTTGTTGTCTCGGAAGGGGTTGTTGTTCGCGGAAGATCGGCCTGAATTCTGTGGTTGGTATGTTGGTTTTGGTTGGAGCCGCCGGCCGGGTTCATCCCTTGAAAGTTGGGGGAGCAATCCGAGGAGGAGAGGAAGTAAAGAGGGGCCGGGGAGAAGCTACCTAGCTTGCCTAGGTATGCTTGAACGACCGTTCTCTTTTCTTCCCCTGGAACGGAGAACATACGAAAAGTTGCGAGCGAGTGCGAGCATGGATTATGTCGAGTGCCCCGCTGTCATGTGCTTTAAGCCTTTCTCCTCTTGCCGTCACTCCGTATCGTAAGATCACCAACCATGGCGTTCGATTAGTATATCGCGGATGGATGTTAGTAGGGCTGACATCTCGCCAAGGTTGGATGTAAGACCTGGCCAGGAGGGGTTGGGTCTGCTCTCGGTCTGGCTTGGCTCGTCTGTATCGGGGGTAGCACCCCGGCTTTCCTTTGTGCTGTTGGTTGCTTTCCTCTTCGCGTTGCGTACGTACTGCTACTGCTGCAAGTGTCAGCTTACCTGTCCTTCACTCGTTCTGCCCATTAAGGAATCCGATCCTGATCCAGCGGGCCAATGGGCCTGGTTTCCCCCTCTTTTACATGGCTGGCTTACGACGGTCGCTGGAGCCATTGGGGAGCTCCAAACGCTGGACTCCGGCCCAGCCCTGACGTTTCTCTGCTGGGTAGCTGGTTTGGGCGATGAGTGAGACTCAGTGGTGGTTGTAGTATATGTTGTACAGGCGCGCTCATTGTGTTGTTTCGATTGCTTAAGCTTATCCATCGTTTTCCGAAAGCCCACTGAGATTCCGTGATAACTATCACAACATCTCGCGACTGTGATTACTGAACCATCTAGGACCCGACAACCACGGTCCCCGCTTGAAGCCACTTATACTTGCTGGACCCTGGATCTCGTCGATTCTCACCTTGTCCAAGAACCCACGGATGGCCAACTGGACGTCGCTTCATTCGCCTCGGTAATACAAACCACATTCGCAATCCCAGGTGAGACTACTACCGCCGCCATGGATGTGTCGAAGAACGAGTTGCATCTCCTCAGCCTGCCCCTTGAAGTCCGCCTCCAGATATACGGCTGGGTCCACGTGGCACATCCAGTAGAGCACGCGCAGCTCGCGCCGTGGTATCCGAATCCAATACATAGTGCGTACTTCTTGAGGCCCGTCAACCCCCCCGGAGTGGAAACTGAGGATTGTGCCGTACCAGGGAAAATTGTGAAAGCCATCGGCCAACCTGCAGGAGAAGAGGACGATTCCGACAGAGACCAAAAGTCCGAAGAGCCATCGCTGCTATCACCGAACCGTCCAATCTCTGGTATCCCCTCGGCGCTCCTGGAGACCAATAGGCAAATTTACAACGAGTGCCGGTCCTACCCCTTCCACACGAACGAGTTCGTCTTTGTCAACTGGTTCTCCTCAGGACTTTGGGCTGCGCGGGCCTTCACGCGCGGTCTGCGGCCATGGCAGCGGGATGAGATGCGGTGGGCGAGGCTCGAGATGCTCGGGCGGGACTTTACGGGCCCAGCGCTGAAGGAGTGGATTGAGTTGTGTGAGCATTGGTCCTTCGGGCTGCGGGGGCTGAGGCTCAAGATCCTGATAGGAGGTGGGATATTCGAACCCACTGCCCCCTTTTCCGCGCTGAAGAACAATGCAGAGGCCCAAGCCATGGGGCTGGGCTCCAAGATGACACGGCCCGATCCCAGGCCAGAATGGATCGAGGAAGGGCTGCGAAAGCTGCGGGCGTTGAGAAGGCTGGAGGTCGAGCTTTCGGTGCTGGATTGGGGCGATGGGGAAAAGCTCGAGTGGTGTGCTGAGCTTGGGAAGATGCTCAACGTCGGTAAGGAGGGGGAGGACAGCCTCGTCGTGGTGAGGTGCGTTGAGAAGCTCGAGGAGGATAATGGATCGAAAAGGCAAGTCTTTGATGGCACTGCGCAGTGTTGAGCTCCCTGCTGAGTATTACTCAAGCATAGACTGGGATATATGGCTTTCAGGGTGATGGCTGTTGGCTACTGACACTCAAAGTCCAAGCCACGAGTGACGAAAGAGGAGAGAAGCTTTTGGTCCATGGGATGGAAAGACGAAGATGGAGTCGAATGAATAGGTGACCACGGGATGAAGCGCCTGGCGTTCTGGGGATGCAACTGGGAGTATGGCATCAGGCAATGTACAGTCAGGGTTATGGTCATTAGGAATGGGATTTCCATTGTTATGAATACCTCAGGCTCCTCCTGAAAAGGTGAATGAGGCAAGACCCGATATTCACTGTCCAAGACCAAAGGTAGGTGCTATTGTTTGCTCCTGCCGTCTTTCCATCTGAAGTTGACCCTGCCGGCCTCACCTTCTTGTTTCCTTGCCACTTCGAAGAAAATCCAACTACTCTTCTTTTTCTTCTTTTTCTCTCACCAAAGCAGCCAGTCGCCTGCTACCAAGAGATTCCTCTTCCCACTCCACCTCCCGCCCTTCCCCTTCTCTTGGACCCTCGGCTTTTCTCCTCAAGCATCATCTTCTTGTACGCATTGCCTACTTGCAATATTACACAATATCCTCACCTTACAGGATACCGACCGCTCCTACTTGCGACTTTCAGGCGCTGCTTAGGTCGATTGACGACGAAGGAATTTCTTGTCAAGGCCATATTCCCTAGTACGACAAAAGTGGCATTCCTGGATATGAGGGGTCGCTAACAAGGTCACAGATTCCTGTGTTCTCGTCAAAGAGATCACATACATTCCCCTCAAAGAACATCGCGAGAACCTTACATTCACGTCAACTACTCACAAAATATCTGGTAAGTTGAAGCCAGAAGAAATCCTTGACTTTGAACAAATACTAACCATTTGCAGTGAAAATGAACGGTCACATTATGCGCGGTCGCTTCCATCCCCATTGCCCTGAGTTCAGCATTGACTATTCTACTGCTTGGTCTCCTGAGGTCCGCATTCCGGTTCTTATCCTCATCACTCTCTTCTTGATGTCGATGAACCCGACTGTCGCCGATATCATTAAGGGTACTGTTTGGATGGTTGTCAAGCCCATTGCCCTCCTCATTGGCTACTTATCTGTCGCCATCATCCGCATCCTGATCTTCCTCTTCATCGATGGACCCAAGATGATCACCATCCTCATCACCCCCGACAGACGCGACAGCGTCGACTTCCTTGGCATCGATGTTGAGAACAATACCAAGCTCAACGCCATCTGGAGCCGTCTCCACACCGAGGAGGAGTGGGTTCCCGGCGGTGTCTTCGACAAGAAGTACAAGCCGTTCCTCCCAGCCCGTAATATGAAAATGGCCGGCCCTCGTCAGAAGAAGGTCATGACCCGCGATCGTGGCCTGTCTTGCTAAATCAAGTTTGCTTGTGGGCGCATTGCCAAGTCGATGAACAAAGACTCTGTGGAGGAACTGGATCTTCTTTGGGAACCGGATCTACCGCTTGGGCCTTGTCATCGACTTCATTCGACCTGCCAGCTATTCGACTGTTCAGCAGCAAAGCATTCACGGGGCTATGGGATACGATGGATTGAATATACGGCCATGGGGGTTTTCTATTGGGGAGATTCGGGATTTGGGTTGACCTCGCTATTCATGGGCGAGCCACTAGACCTATCATCTTGGTTGTCTACTAGTCGCAGCTGATACTCGACCACGGATATTTGCAACGACGTCGGTGGACCTGCCCTGGATGATACGGATAGATTGGAGATTTCAAAATCGTCTCGGAGCCCGGAAAAGTTATAGAGAGAGATACCCACGGGCGTGCGAGCTGACGAGGCTCTAGACCATTAGACGTTGGTCAAGGAAGGGCTCCTAATGACTCAGATGAGATAGAAAGGTAATAAGACCCTGATACATTGCAAACTGATTTCTTCTGTCGCGGCTCGGTGCGGTTCAATGTTTAGTTCGACTGGGATGAGTGATGTGACGTCGAAATGGACATCCACTCAGCGCGGAAAGGTCCCGCCAGTGTGCAAGGAACTGTTCGCGAGACATTGGCCAATCGGAGCAAGGCGGTCAGTGGCTCTCTGCAGTTCATCTACTTTCTGACTCTTTGACGTCTTGAACAACGAATGCTGTTCTGAGGTACTACACGCAGAATATACATTTAGCATTCCTCCTTCTTTCTGAAGTCTCCCATATCCATCTAATGGAGCCGGCGTACTCCTTGGTCGTTGAGTCCAAAAAAGTCAATTGTACAGTTGAGCATCGAGGCGGCTCCTACCTATGTGCGGTTGCAACCCAACACGCTCAACTGCTTTTTGTTCCGCGAATATAACCCCGAAATTCTGAGTCAACTTTCAACCTAACCCGAAGCCGAAGGCATGTTAGTACTTTTGGAGTATCTATCTCGCGAAATACGGATAGCTCCGCAACAAAACCCGGTCAAGCAGGGCCGCTAACCATGTGACTTCGCGCCAGTCTCGCTCCAAAAGCCTGTCTGGTCCCCCGACCATCCGCCTCAGCCCGCCCCGCACTCCCCCCTCCTCTCTCCCACACCACCCCGGCCGTGACTCACGTCCCTCCTCCCAACCCCGGTCACCGCTGCAAGTCGTAGCAATTAGTGTCCTTGCATGCTTTCGATATCGCGCTGAGACGCGTGTTGAGTTGTATTTCCCACCCCGACGTCGGGTTGTTCGTAGAGAGGAATCGGTGTCTGCGTAGATAGGCCGTAGTCGTTTTGCATGCATTAGCTGTGTGTGTCATGTGGTTTTTGGGGGGGAGTCACTAGGTACATAAAAGACGGGAGGATTCCCCTTTCGGACGAACTTGATTGCTGACTCCTCACACATCATCCTGAGGAATTGATTTCTCCTTACAACACTTACACGTGGGACTTTGGACCTACTCTCTTTTCCCTATTCTTATTCCATTTGAGTCTTGACTGGAAGCCGCCCTACCAGACGTCCTCGGTACCTGAAAGGATTGCCAATCTTCTAGTTGAGATCTCACTCGGCATTTGAAGGGACAATCTGACGTCACACTGCCGCTATCACCATTGACCCGCTCACGCATTACGGAGTACCTCAACTGTACTACGCAACTTTCAACTCCAACCTACCCAAGATGGACGCCCGATGCCAATGCGGAGCCGTGTCCTTCAAGACGCCGCTGCCGCAACCTCTCCGCCTCTATATATGCCACTGCGAAGAATGGCACGTTCAACAACTCTCATGCACTCCTTCGTCGATTAGTGGCCGCAGTCATGCTGACTTGAGCCGTTTTTGGTTTCTAGTAAAAGGCAAACGGGTTCCGCGTTCGGGACGTCTGCAATCTTCCCCAAATTTAAGCTACCAAAGGCTGACCTGATGGGCGTCTACGCGTGAGTATTATACATACGGAGCAGGAACAGAAAAAAAGAGCACTCGTTCGAGTCGTAGGTGTGGGAGGGGGTTGTGAAGCGTGAGAGTGAGAGTGAGAGAGTTGCGAGTTGTGAAGGAAATATAGAAATCCTTACTGACTTATGAGCAAATAGGAGGCCAACTGCGTCCGGCGCCACGCTCTACTGGTGAGTAGACACCCTCCCTTACAGGAATCTGGGATCTATGAACTGACAGTTATGTGACAGCTACTTTTGCCGCAACTGCGGAACCAGACTAATCCACGCAACACCGGTATGTCCTTCCGTAACACCAGAAACAGGCTCCAAAAACGAACGCAATCTGAATGCTCGGTGACCACCTAGGATAAGAACGTCGTCTCCGTAAAGGGCGGCTGCATCGACGGCTTGGACTGGAAGACGGCCGTCCACATCTGGACTAAGAACGCCATGGTGCCAATCCCCGAAGGCGCGGAGAACCACAGCGAGGAAGCAGAGTATACCGACTACGGCGACCAACAAGAGGCGCTCGATCAGCCGACGGACCTGCGCGGGAGCGGAGGCACGCTGGCAGATGCGGTATCGGTTGACGGGCGGTGTGAGCTGAGCGGGACGACGCTGAAGGCCATTGTTCACTGATGTGAGCGATACGACTGGCGTGTGTCACGTCGGACGAGTGCTAGGAATGATGTTTGCTTGTGTCTGGTCACTAGAGGTACTTTGGTTGGGACAATTAATAAGCTTGGGGGTGGTGAAGGTAGTATTAGTCGGTTCTATGATATCCCCCAAAATTGGAATACTATGAGAAAGAGTCATCTAAGCCGTAATGCCGTCAAAACATGGAAAATTAAAAACCATCAATATGCCTGCTCTCTTCCCAGCTTAATTGCTCGGCATTCGCAGAACTCACGAACGTTGTCCGACGAGAGACTCCTCACCACTCGGCCTTCCAGTCCCGTGCGCGGGCTTGGCAACGGACTCATGCTGGTGCTGCTGGCCCTCCTCAGCGCGCGCCCCGGCGTCGGAGTGCTTGGCTGGGTCGAAGACGTACATGGGGAACTCGAGGAAGATGGTGCGCTTGAGGAACGTCGGCATGCGGACGTACAGCTGCGGCGGTAAGGGGATGAGAATGCTGGTGCGCTCGAGGTAGCGCTTGTAGCCCTCCCAGTTCTGATTCTTCTCGTAGCGCTTCTTGGCGCCGGGACGCTCCTGGAGAGTCAGGCCCGAGACGAACATGAGGAGCAGCGTCAGGAAGAAGGGGCCGAGGATGGTGGCGTAGAGTGCCTTGAAGGCTTGGCCGCCCACGTAGCCGTCGGCGGCTGCCGAGACGGCGATCATGTAGATGCCTAGACGTTGGATGCTGTGTTAGCCAAGGACTCTCTCATGAGTTGGTCTTGGTTTACTTCGTTGCGCTGACAAAGCATGGGGGAGAAGATTGGCATTGTATGAGGTGGTATCACTTGGCATTGGGTGGCAGTGTGAACTTACCAAACTGAATAATGATTTCGCCGAAATAATTGGGGTGCCTCGAGAGCTTGAAGAAGCCCTTGTCGCAAATGGCCTCGCGGCTCGGGTTGTCCCTGCGGAAGACGTACTTTTGCGCGTCGCTGACCGACTCCATGACGAAGCCGACAACGAAGAAGATGACGCCGACAATGTCGCGGCCGGTACCAAAGTCGTGCTGCGGATAGCGCGTGACGTTGGGCGAGTTGAGGACGGTAACGGGCAGGGAGACGGTCCAGACCCAGATCATCTGGAAGATCCAGAAACCGAGAAAGGGGAAGAACTTGTCGCGCTTGTCATCGAAGCGGTCGTCCTTGCCCGTCTTGAGGATGCGGAAGAGGAGGAAGGCCGAGAGGCGGGCGCCCCAGAGCATGATGAAGATGGAGGCGACGATTTGGCGCGCATGGTTGTGGCCGCTGATGGCGAGGGTGATTATGGCCACGACGACGAAATTTGTGCCGCCGGCAAAGTCTGTGAGAGATGTTAGTTTTGATGTTCATTGCTCATTTGTAGAGTGAGTTGGTGGATTTATCGAATGAGCCTTGAAGGGCCGGGTGTGGATTGGTCTTACCGGTGAGCTTGTCAAACTTGAAGCTAAAGGCTATTGAAAAGAAGAATAATTGGTATGCTACTGTAATGAGAGCCGTGATGGCTAGATAGTAGTCGTCAAGGACGTGTACAACCGCCATCTTGGGCTGCCTTCTATCTCTGTGTGTCGTTTGAATGCGAGTTATTGTTGTTGTTCTGTGGCTGCGATCTAGAGTCTGAGACGCTTGGAAATTTGTTGAAACACGCGGGGGCCACAGTCGCCGGTGCTGTAAGATGAGCCTGGATGAGAAATGTGAAGAAACGCGAGTGTTTAGCAAGCTGGCTTAAACCAACTTATCATCACCATCACGGGCTTCGGAAGCTATGGAAGACGACGTCAAAAAAATCTCCCGATGATCGTAGCTGCACATTGCTTAGCCTCAACTGGTGGTTGAAGAAGGATTACACTGTCGTCATTGACTTCTGTAGGCCCACTGCTTTGGCTCAGCTTTGAAAGAGCCCGTGTACCGATGCAGGCCAATTAGTATGATGATGGTACATTGAACTATGGCATCGATCGGACTTGCAGGGCCACCGAGGACCGGTTGCTATGTAGGTCTCTAGCCACGTTCTAGCCACGTTGGGAGGTACGAGACCGCTACCAGCCACATTACCTAAGGGAGATCCGAGATTCTCTAGCCACAATGCAGACATACGTATTAGCCATAGGCTATAGCCGCCGTCTTTAAGCTTGTTCGGAGCTGCCGCCGCCACATTGCGTGCAGGAGGGGATGGGCTGAATTACATCAGCATGCACTCGGACCGTTGTAAGGCTCTCTTACCCACTGAATTGAGTGAAACGAACGAGACTGGCGTCCCCGTCTCCCGATCATGACATGCTGATCCCTGGACTTAACCGCAACATCCTATTGAAGCAACAGGTCGGAAGGGGGCGTTTGTCTAAGGTATCATGTATCACAGTGTCTTGGGGCCCCCTTCCTCATTCAGGTCGGTGCACAGTCGCATTAACCTTCACTGCGACTGCTGCACATGAACTCGGTGCTTCGGGAAGCGCTCGTCTCGACACCAACTGCCGTTCCGGGACCATTGTCCTGAGATAAGGTAGGTGGCCATCTCTCAGTTCCTTATTCCGTTCCCGAGCAGGAAAGCAACACAGACTCACCTCACCCACGACGCCGGAGAGAGGTCTCTTATTATTTCTCATCAAAACGTGCTATTATCTGGGCCGGTATCACCATCGCCAACCGCTAATGACGGTCCTGGTCTTCTTCTGGCCCGTGGCACGTTCATCGCCTGCAGCATGCACCAGAACGCACATTATCTGCATGTCATCAAACGTGCCGCCCGGGCTCTCGCTCGTTTGACCCATTGCTTCAGCACGCATGTCGCCCCAGCCACTTGAGGCACGAAAAGCTCATGATTATAGCAAAGGTGTTCATTTTCTCCTCGCCTTGGGACGACCCTCGTTGTGTCAATGCCGTTTTCCCTTCTTCCAGCAAGAGAAAGAGCCTGCTCTAGTCTACAGATACTACCTTACTGTACTGCGTACGCAAGCGCAACGTGTTTGGCGACAGAAGCTGTCTCGGCGATGGGCTCATCCTACTGTCCGAAGGGACGATGCGGAAAAATGGCAAGTTGAGACGAAGACATCCATGGGCTCATCACTCATCAGTCATCCACAAATGCCGCGCATCCTACGAGAACTGCATCTGCATCCGTATCCGCGCTTCTTTTCGTCTTTGGCCCCTCTATTTCGCCACGTAGCGAGAGCAAGAGCAAGAGATGGGCGCCGACCACCTCGCCTGTCATCGACCTGTACTGGATGCTCCATCTGAAAGGCCCATCCCACGCTGTTGATCTTCACGTGGGTGCGAGGCAAGGTGGATGCGTGCGTCCCGCCTGTCCAAGTGTCGATGAAGCGCTGACACCTTTTTGTTTTGTCGTGGGCCCCGACCCGACGACCTCTCCCAAGCCCACCAGTCGCAATGCATTTCGTGCAGCGGTAGCCGCCTGGGCCCTTGGAGAGTCTGGGGAAACGAAATGAGAGTTTTTCGTGATTGCGATGCGGGTTCTATTTTCAACGATCGTCACCACGAACACGAGTCAAAGAAGCAGTTTGCAGCAGTTCCAGCAGTAGCGGCAACGTCGTTGATGGCGGCATGCTGGGATTGAACGAAAGCCAAAAAGAATTTCCCGCATACCCGTGGGAAACATTGTTTCACCCATCTACGGATACCTCGTTGCTGGTGTATCCGTACAGATCCAAGACGTAGTGTACTGGACATTGGAGGGATGAGAGCCAAGGATGGATCATGGAGTGGGATGCCTATGGCACCCGTGGCCACCGAGATTTTGAAGCCGCCATCGGTCTTTCGCATCATGTCCGCCCCTCGCATGGCTTCCTCATCAAACTAGCATCACGTCACACATCACGGACACGGACACAATGGGATGGGATGGACCATCGTTGAAGTCGAGTCTCGACGGTTCATCGTTGCAGTTGCCCTCTAGAAGCTAGCGTTGGCTTGCGTTGGCTGTCACTTGGGCTAGTGGCCGAAGGGTGTGGCTCGCAGGTCTGGCGCTCTCGCAGTTTCGGAGCCCTGGCGCGAGTTTGGGGGGCTCTGGTGGCTCTGTTACTGTGCCCCCCGTCTCAGACGGTCTTCGTCTGGGGCATGTCTCACACCCTTGAGCCCAGCAAGCCCAGCCCAGGGTTCTTCCTCGCCAGCGCCGTGGAATGATTGGAATGCTTCTAACCTCTCTCGACGCCCTCCCGGACCCTTCTGCAGCGGCTCCACGACGCCTTGCTTCACACGGCCTCCATCTCCGATCGACCTTTTCACGATCCCTAGCCCGACCCGACAATGTTGGACATGGATGGGGTGAGCCATACTGCGTAGGCGGGCATGCAGCATGGCGGGGAGCGGGCCCCTGGCGTTTCTTGGCCGCCCTGAACCGCACTGATCGAGTCTGCAGCGTTCCTGGCAGAAACCCTGGTCTCCCTTGCTCCATCGAGAGTCGATTCAGTCAAATCAGAAGACTTGTCGCCTTCGACAAGACGTCCATCGTACCAGTTCTAGGCCCCCGTCCAGCTTCTTTTTGCCCTGTCTGGCTGCTCGTCCACCATGAAGCGGCGAAGCCCACCCCGGCTAGCCATGGCCAAGCATTGGCAAGCATTTTGGCACCCGGTGCGCCGAAGAGCCAATCTGATGCTGCATGGCTAGGCATTGACATGGGCCAATTCGTGATTCTCGACGGTGGTCCCCTTTTCGATTAATCTTTGCGGCTCCCGCAACTCAAGACTCGACTGTTTTTGTGGTTTGATGGTGCTTCGTCCCAACTTTCCTTTACTTCTCGCTCTCCTTACCCAAACTCTCTGCGTGTGTGCGTGCCTGTTCCTGGCGGGAAAGACACGGAAAATACGGCATTCAGTCTCTGACCAAGATTCACACCTCTCACATTCTCTTGTCCTCACACCCCCCCTCAGACCCATTTCTGGTCACATCTCTCGTCTTTTCTTAGTACCCGCACACCCTCTCGATCACTCTCACTACTCGAGGGGTCTTGGCCGTCTTATCTCCTTGAACTCTGGACATGTTCTGCAGGTCGCTGTCTGTCTGCCCGTAACTCTTTCCTTTCGTAATCGCGAAGGTTTACGGAACACTCCACAAACCACTACACTCTTTTCGATCCTAGGGTTGATCCCAACGAACTCACCGACGGCTGGCCTGTTGAACTCGCTCTTTGAAAAAGCAAATAGTGAAAAAGAAGGATACGAATAGTGGAAAAGATCGAAACCGAGAAACGCTGGCGACACTCGAAGGTCTCCAGCTTTCGCCCCCGAGCCCACGATGAGGCATAGTCTACTCTTCGCCGTGGCAACTCTAACATCAATCGCTCAGGTGCGTTCACTCAACATACCGCGGGACAACTTCGTCGAGGGTGGTAATGAATTTGGGTTGACGAGAAAGCAGGGCGCGGCTGTCGACAAAAGACAAAACATCAACATCGATGGAAGCGGAAACGTCAACGTAGAGGGTGCCAACGCGGGCGCGGTTGAAGTGAAGACGGTGAACCTTGGAAATGCTGGATCTCTGAACAAGGGAGCGAATGGAGGAGGATCGGGACAGGGCAACCTCATCGCCGGCATCTTGGACGCTCTCAACGGTGGCAGCAGAAACAACCAGGGCAACCGCAATAAGCCGAACAACGCTTGTCCTCCAGCTCCTCCAGCGCCGCCGCCGGTCACTGTCACGAAGACGATCTACCAGAATGCCTCAGTACCTGCGCCGTTGACGGTCTTCGTTACGCAGGCTCCTCCGTAAGCTTTCTCGACCTAGCGAACGCTGGACTATTCAATATGATGGGATGAGACCACTGACCAACATATCATATAGGCCTCCACAGATCATCACGCAGTTGGTCACGCAAACGCCGCCCGCTGCTGCTCCGCCTCCGCCTCCGGCTGCTCCCCCAGCTGCTCCTCCTGCGGCCCAGCCTGCTGCTCCGGCTCCCGCAGCTCCCGCGGCCCCCGCAGCACCGCCAGCTGCTCCTGCGGCATCGAAGGCGCCTCTGGTCATTCCGGGACCTCCTCCGACAGATCCATTCGCTGGCTTGAAATCGAACCCGCCCCCTGCGGCGGCTCCTGCGGCCACCCCGCCTCCCGCAGCAGCTCGTAAGTGGCATTCTACTAGTGAACGATCTAAGACAGGTTCGAGAATAGGCTGACAATGCATGGATAGAACCTGCTCCGGCTCCCGCTGCCCCTCAACCCCCGGCTGCCCCCCTCGTGGGCAACGCGCCCGCTGTCAGCAAGCCGTCCGCCTCCGTCAACCTTGGCGGCCTCAACGGCAACGGCGCTGCCAACCAGCCCGCTGCAGCAACGCCCGTCGCTCCGATCGCCGCGAACCCCGCTCAACCCCAGGTCGCCGTCAGCGGCCTTGCATTGACAAGGTCTCTTCAGCTCGGTAATCTCTTGCAGGCGACTGCCCAGCTCCAGGCTCGTGCGACGCCCCCAGCTTAAGGACCGACTACTCCTCGAACTCTCTGATCGACATGCAAGTGCTGTGGAAGGGTTTTAATCGGAATGTGAGGTGGTAGCCAGGGAGGGAGGTTGAGTTGCATATACTGCGTATGCATAAGA